TGTTACTCAACAAGTCATTTTTTTTACGCCCACATTTTCATGTTGTTGTCTGACCGTCCACAATTTGTTTGTGGACACTCTACAGGTCATAATTTTTATCCAGTTTTGACGAAACTTGAAATATAGTTTCTTGGTTCCTTTCGATATTTGCATGTATCGAACCATAACTTCATGGATTATGGGCCCTGATTGTACGAAAAATCACGTTTTTAGCTTGTGGACACTACAGGTCACAATTTTTATCCGATTTTGATGGAACTTAAAATGTACGTTTATAAGCCAAAGATCCTTTAACTATTCGAGCATGTGGGATCATAAATTCCCGGATTATGGCGCTTGATTGTACGAAAAATCACGTTTTTAGCTCGTGCTTCCTAGTGGTCATCATTTTTATCCAATTTAAAAAAGGTTTGAATATGTCACCATCACGGATGTGTTCGAATTTCTTGAAAATCAGACCAGACCTGTTTGAGAAAATGGATGTTCCATGTTAGCAAATAGTGTAAAAGTGTGGTATATCAAGGTTGTGGACATTGGACTAGAGGTCACAATTTCGATCTGATTTTGATGAAACTTTAAGTAAATTTATGTTTATATCACAATGATCTTGGTTCCTTACGATATTCGAGTATATCAGAATGTAACTTCCTGCATTATGTCTCCTGAGTGTTCAAAAAATCGCATATCACACATTTTAGAACAACAATAATGTTTAACAGTTGGAAATTCATATAAGAGTAGGCTGTAGTGCCGCTGTCCAGGCAAATTTTCCCTCATAGTACACTTTATGACATATGCCTGTCTTGGTTAGCCCAGTCAGAGCAGAACAGTAGGACGTTAAACCCCATTTCATTTTACACCTTTGCTTTCTGTGCAGGGGGTTGGTTGGCCGCATTGGATCAGAAAGAATGTCTTTCATTATGTCAAGTAGCTTGGTTTGATTCCCCACTTAAACATAGTGTTACCTGTCCAACCTTGTGTGGGGTTTTTTTCAGGTCTTCCGGTTTCCTTCCACAGCTAAAGACCCCCGTTCACAAGTGAATAATTGAAATAAAATGTAACAATATGTTAGTCCCAAAATGAACCAGTTTGTGTTGAGTAGACGTTAAACCCCATTATGTCTCTCTTACCTTCTATGCATGCATTTCTGCTGTTTATGGGGGTTTGGGTGGCCGAATGGTTAACCCGTGCGTGCTATATCAAACAGTCTGTCATGTAGTCAACTGGCGGGGTTTCGCTTCCCCGGTTGTACGTGACAAGGAGTAGGGTCACTTGTCCAACCTCGTGGGTTTTCTCCGGATTCCTCCCACTGCTAAAGACCCCTACGCGCAAGCGATTTATTGAAATAAAATTGAACCATGTGTTAGTCCCGAAAAGACCTAGTTTGTGTCGAGTGGACGTTAAACCCCATTTCTCTTTCTCTTTATCTGCTGTTTATCTGTCGTACGATTCTCCTGCCCTTATTAATGATAAGTAAAAACCTTTGAGTCTGGGAGTCATGGTGGCTAAGTGGGGTATATAAGTGTTGTTTGTGATGGGTTGGGGATCATGGTGGAGGTCGGGTGTTCGATCCCTGCATAGGCCAAGAAAGTTCATCCAGATTTTCCGGCGTGGCTCCGACTTGTCAGTGATGCAGGACGGAGGGCCTGGCAAGGACATCTGTCTAGTCATTCGGATGGGATGAAAAACCGAGGTCCCATGTACATATTGGTGTGCACGTAAAAGATCCCAGTTGGAATTCAATATAAGAGTAGGTCGTTGTGCCGCTGTCCGGGCAAAATTTCCCTGATAGCACACTGTATGGCGTATGCCCGTCTTCATTAGCCCAGTTCGGAGCAGAATAGAAAGACGTTAAACCTCATTTCATTTCCATCATGGTTTCCACGGGACTGAGGGCCTGGCAAGGAATAGCCTCTAGTAGTTTGGATGGGACAAAAAAAAAACAAGATTCCATGTTCACGTTGTCAAAGAACCCTTGACAGTTGGAATTCAAAATAAAAGTAGGACATTGCACTGCTGTCCGGATTAGCCCCTCATATTGCCTTATTAGCTTGATAGCATTGCGAGAATACTCTTCGAAACGTCGCCTTAAATTACATTAGTAGCTGTTTTCCATAAGTCTGGGGGTTTGTTTTTGGCTCTATCCAGCTACTAAATGCCATTTAAAGATTAGCCCTGTTGATGCAGAAAACGTTAAAAGTCATTTCATTTTATATTATGGTTGTCTATTTGTATATAAGGAAATAACTGAATGGTTTTATACAGATAAATGAGTTGTGTAAATATAGACGAAAGACTTAAAAAAATTTTATTCATTTTAAAGATACTTTCCCACAAAAGTATTTATCAGGTGGTTATTCTCAATAAAAGTATTGCAGCTTAGGTATATGTGGAAAGGGAAGACACACAATCTTACTAGATAAATACTGGATTCCCTGAAAAAAACACTCATGGAGCACGCACAGAACAGAAATGAGAGGTTGGCACTAATTCAGTAATTGGCAGCCTGACGATTAAGGGCTCTCTGCTCGACAGACGTCAAGGGGTGCACACGAAGATTTCTGATGTCTCAGCGTTAGGGAGCATTTGATGTACATGTTGATAAATTTGATGCTGAGCCGACTAGGATAAAGTGAGAGACTCAAAAGTACAACAGTTTCTGAGTGCATAAGTGCATAATCTGAGAATTTAATTAGGCTTCGATATTTATGATAAATGGACAACTATTAAGGATAACATCGTCTTTTATATGCAATGAATCCTCCTCCGGCTTCACACCCGTTGCTAGTTACCATGACACATGACACAAACATGACTTCTTTTAATAGATTTTTTATAGCATGGGGTATTTCCATGTGAATACAATGTTTTGATAGATTAATTAGTTTAAATATGTTTTTAGTCCAAATATATCATCAAATCATACGCGGGAAGGTATCTTTAATGGTTTGTAGTCTGATATTAGAATTAAAAGAGATAGAGAGAAATGGTGTTTAACGTCCACTCGACACAAACTAGGCCTTTTCGGGACTAACACATGGTTCAATTTTATTTCAATAATTCGCTTGTGCGTAAGGGTCTTTAACAGTTGGAGGAAACCGGAGGACCTGTAGAAAACCCACATGGTTGGACAGGCGACCCTACTCCTTATCACGTACAACCGGGGAATCGAAATCCTGCCAGTTGACTCAATGACAGATCGTATGATACAGCGCACCGTGCTAACCATTCAGCCATTGAATTGAAATATCTGACATTGAGTGATTACCTATAAGATCTAACTGTTTTTCATACAATAGATTAAATAATCCCCGCTAAACAGCAGCACTCGAGACTTGGTAGATGTGAAGATTTTTTAATAATATAATGTTTCGGGGTTGAGATACCCTTTATCAAATATAAAAAATTAATATTCCTGTGGCGACTTCATATAAAATAATGGTTGGGACGTCACAGGATTTATTAGATTTATTGACATACAATTGAAAGGTTGTTAAAAAAGGAGGATCGTTAAATTTAATAGATTAAGGTGTTGTTACCGGCGGAAAAAAAAATTAAACTAAAGAGATAGGTGAAATATTAGATATATCTTTACCATATTATCCATTTTACTTGTCAGTGTAGGCTGGTGTACTTTGGTTGCTTCAACATATTTAAAAGTGTATTTGTGTTTATATCTTTGTCATATTATCCATTTTACTTGTCAGTGTAGGCTGTCTTTCGATCATTTACTATTTTTCATCTTATAATATAATATATGTATCTTTGTTAACAAATTATTTAGATATTTGTATGTGCAAGGCCATCGGTGTTCATTGACTGGTGTGGTTGTTTTGTTGGGCCAGATATCCCAGACTGTGATGTCATCTCTGTTTGGCGGATTTGGGGCCGATTATTTAGCCAAATAATAAGTTGATATGTGATTTATTTTGTTATTAGTGTAAACTCTTGTATATATGTTATTCTATAATTTTGACGTCATTTATATATTCATTTAATAAATGACATTTTTCAGACCGATACGATGGCTTTGTGATTTTTAGTGGCTATTGGGATGGGGAACACAAATATACAATATTGGAAAATTAAGAGTTTAAAATTTTTAAAAATAATGATAAATATGAATAAAATATAAATACAATATGACTATAATGAGATTTAAAGACACAATTTAATTATTTGAAAAAAAACCCAACAAAACAATACATGTTAAACTCCAGCTATCATCGGGTGACTGTTGTCAGGTATCGTAACAGGTATCATGTGACATCACCACCTTTATTTTATATGAAGTCGCCACAGGATTATTAATTTTTATATTTGATAAAGGGTATCTCAACCCGAAACATTATATTATTAAAAAATCTTCACATCTACCAAGTCTCCAGTGCTGCTGTTTAGCGGAGATTCTTTAATCTATTTTTTTTCATACAATGTCAAGTTTGTGTCATTTTCAAATAAATAGAAAAGCCATGACATTTTAACAGTCTTCATATTTCATTTTGTTTTGTCTGGTGTGAAATGTGAGACATCTGTTGTGTGTACTGGTGGATAAATTGTTTTTTTAAAAGACAATCGTTAAAGATACATTATGGGAGATTAGATAAAGAGCTGGTAGTTCTCACTATAATATTTAAAAACTGGATAATGTAAAGGGAATTTGTTAGAAAAATTTCAATCAAATTGATCCAACCTGAACCAAGTATTTAGCAATTAAAAAACATAGTCTCGATTATCCATTTATTGATTTAATCAGAAGCAGCAGACCGGGTTCTAATCCGGTAAATATCGCAGGCTAGCGATGCCATCGAGAGTTGATTATGGCCTGAATCACTTAATTAACGTCTAATTAATAATTTAGACAACATTTCAGGCCTAAAGAAAGACCTGCTATAGGCAGATTTAGCTCTTGCATAATGTATATTTAAATAACATCTCTCCCCGATATTAAGTAACCTGGCAAGGTATGTTTTAGATATATATTTTATTTGTTACTACAGGTAAAAGAAAGTAAGTTTAATGATATTTATGGTGTATCAGTTAAACTTGATGATAATAACGTCTTTAAACCTGTCAAAGGTAAAATCTATTCCTACTTTATATCATAAATCTTATTTTAAGATAAAAGTTTTAAGTTTTCCACCTGGAAAAAAAGCACTAAATTATGTTATAAATCTTAGTTTAAGTTTTTCTTATCTTTATGTCTTTTCCGTAACAATAAATTACACTCAACAAAATCTAAATGTCTCTTATAGCACATTGTATAACATGGCCGTCCGTGTTCATTAGCCAGATTGGTGAATAATACTGGGACATTAACCCCATTTCATTTTAAATCCACTGTGTTGGATGATAAGGTCTGTCATTGAGCCAACTGGCATAGTTTCGATTCCCCGTGTCACTTGTCCAACCTCATGGGTTTTCTCCGGGTCCTCCAGTTTCCTCCCACTTCTAAAGTTCTAAAGAACCCTATGCGCAAGTGAATTATTGAAATAAAATTGAACCATATGTTAGTCCCGAAATGGCCTAGGTTGTGTCAAGTGGAGGTTAAGCCCCATTTCTCTCTCTTTTTCCTTTCGATATTTGCCCATATCGGACTGTAACTTCCTGGATTATGTTTTAAGGTTTTTCGAACGCAGTTAATGATGATATATTTTTCAGGGATTCACTCAAATATTATTCCATAATTCAGGAGCAGCATTAGCTAAAGGCTCTTGTTCCTACGTGTGTTTTAAAATTTTCATAATTCATAACCAAACATTGCCGTATTTATACGAACACAGACATATTGATCCTAATACAACATTATGAAATATGTCAATATCAATCTGGTTAAAACACAGATCCAATTTCGTTTTGTTTTTTATAGTTCAAATTTTCGTTTTACTTGTCTTTACTACACTAGGATCTGGAAGAGTTGTTATATAGCAGTCGTTCTAGATAATGTGAGGAATTAGCTAATGAAACAGGCTGTTACGGGGACTTCTTGGCGTGTCATGCACAGAACTGTGGGTAAACCACTAGAAACGCCAACGCTGATTGATTGTAATCAATGTCTGACGTCATAGGGTCAAAAGCCGCCTGCACAACCTATTACTATAATTTGTCAGATCTTCATGTAGTGTAGGCCATTGAAAGTATTAAAAAAACGAAACGAAATATAGATATGTATTTGAATCAGATTGTGTGAATATGAAATATATCAATTATTTGTAATTTTATTTTCAGATTGCCATGTAATATCAATGGCTAAATCAGGTTAGACATTTTTTTAAGAATAAAAACTTGGATATTAAAGCCCAGCTTATCCATTGAATTGACTATTGAGTTACTAGGTTTTTCTGTAACATACTAGGCAAAGGAAGGAAGTTGCTAGGTTGTGTCATGGGTGTAACTGCTTACAAAATCAAAAGATTGGAATATCTAGTATAACAACAGGAAGCACATACCCTGCTAACCACAAATTTGGTTCTAACTCAATTTTGATAAAAAAGTGAGTTACTAGGTTTTTACTTTTGACGGGAGAAATTTCACTTAGCATTTATTATAATCGAGGCCAAGGAAACAAAATGAAATGAAATGAAATGGAGTTTAACGTCCTACTGTTCTGCTCCTAACCTGGGCTAATGAAGACGGGCATTCGCCATACAGTGTGCTATGAGGGCAATTTTGCCCGGGCAGCGGCGCTACGGCCTACTCTTATATCGAATTCCAACTGCCAAGGGATCTTTTACGTGCACGCCAATGTGTACACGGGACCTCGGTTTTTCGTCCCATCCGAACGACTAGACAGCTTTCCTTGTCAGGCCCTCCATCCTGCATCACTGACAAGGGGAAACCACGCCAGAAAATCTGGATGAACTTTCTCGGCCAATGCAGGGATCGAACACCCTACCTCCAGGCTAGCGAGCTAGCGTCTTACCCACTTAGCCACGTGATCCCCCCAAGGAAACAAATACATGTGTTTGTTTAATTTGGCCTAAAAAAATAAATAGGAACGGTCGGAAAATCTTTTATTTTTTTTGTTTTTATCTATTTACTAACATTTCTAACTTAATTACTGAGTAGGGTTCTTGAAAATAGGGGGATTTGATGGCCGAATGGTTAGCATGTGCGCGCTGTATCATAAGGTCTGTTATTGAGCCAACAGGTGTGGTTTTGAATCCCCTGTTGTACGTGACAAGGAGTAAGGTCGCCTGTCCAACCTTGTGGCTTTTATCCGGGTCCTTCCATTCCCTCCCACTGCTAAAAGACCCCTCCCTACGCGCAAGAGAATTATTGAAATAAAACTGAACCATATGTTACTAGTTTGTGTCGAGTGGACATTAAACCCCATTTCTCTCTCTCTCTCTAGAGACAATTATGCCAAGACCGAGGTATAGGGACTGGAAAATGAGGTAGAAAAGATTAGGGTTAACTACTTTGGCTAAAATAAATAGAGAGTCAGGGTTGGGGAACAGTAAATACAGGTGTTTTGAGGGTGTGGGGGATGGCACATATCAGAAATAGTTATAAGAAATATAAAAATGTTTTTTATAATTCTGTTATAAAAAATATTTTGGCGCAGTATAGCATGGTTGGAGCTGACGTGCCATAAAATCCTATTTCATTTATTTATTCATTTATAGAAAAGATATCTTCACCAGTATACCTGTAGTTAATAGATAACAAGTGTATCAGGAATATTATTTTACCTGTCTAATCAGCCCCCCCAGGTGTTCACGATAATTTTATCAAACATTTATTTCTTCTAATCTCTCATTCTCCAGATTCTACAGAAGTCACCTTGACCTTTGAACCTTTGGAACCGAAACCAGCCACATTCTCGACCAGGTTTGTCTGACTTTGTGTTGTACAAACACTAACTTCCTGTTCTGTCAATCGATGTGATATAATTGATGTTTTTACATTGAATAACAAGGCTAATCAACATTCCTGTTATTGCACATACATCGAATAAATTCACACAGATTTATTTACCCATTCTGTTAAAGATACACTATGCACGATTTAGAGAAAGAAATGAAATGAAATGGGGTTTAAAGTCCTGCTGTTCTGCTCTGACGCAGCTAATGAAGACAGACATACGCCATACAGTGTGCTATGAGGGGAATTTTGCCTGGACAGCGGCACTACTGCCTACTCTTATATCGAATTCCAACTGCCAAGGGATCTTTTCCATGCAGGCCAATGTGTACAAGAGATGTTGGTTTTTCGTCCCATCCGAACGACTAGACAGCTGTGCTTGTCAGGTCCTCCGTCCTGCACCACTGACAAGGGGAAACCACGTCTGAAAATCCTGATGAACTTTCTCGGCCAATGCACAGATCGAAAACCCGACTTCCAGGCTAGCGAGCCAGCGTCTTACCCACATAGCCACCGTGGCTCTGTTGAGAGAAAGAGCTGGCTGTTCGGTAAAAATTGGATTTAATCAACTCTCGATGTCATCGCTAGCCTGTGATATTTACTGGATTTAAATCTGATTTGCTGCTCAACACTCATTGATGATATAATCCAAAAATGGATAATCAAGCCTATGTTTTTTATTGTACGGACTTTAGTAATGGTCGCCAGTCCAACCTCGTGGGTTTTCTTTGAGTCCTCCAGTTTCCACCCAATGCTAAAGAGTCCTTATTGAAATAAAATTGAACCATGTGTTAGTCTCGAAATGACCTAGTTTGTGACCGAGTGGACGTTAAACCCTATTTCTCTCTTTCTCTCTCCCTCGCCAGTCGAGCCCCCCCAATGATGCATAAATCTGATCAAATACCTGTTTAAATAAATATCTTGTATCTTGTAGTGTTTTATTAACGGCTGAAGGTGAAACTTACTCATCGCCTCTCCCATCAACAGATATCAACTTCACAGATTTACTTCTACAGTTTCCATGGCAACTATTCAATATCCAATCAGAATCACGATACGAGTTTTGGTGTAAATTATGGAATAAGTTTACTGATGATTCTGATGATGCCAGGTAAATAAACAGTTCTTACTCCATCTTATTCTACCTGTATCTTTCGAAGGTTTGATCCAGGTGAAAGTTTTGCCAATCTGATTAAAACACAGATCCTTTCTGGATGATGTCTGGGATTAGCCAATGAAATGGTCTGTTACAGCGAGTTTCTGGCTTGAGGTGCATGGAACTGTGGGTAACCCACTAGAAACATCAAAACTGATTGGTTAATCAATGTCTGACATCATAGGGTCAAAAGCTGCTCGTATTACCTCTGACGTGACCTTCGAATACAACCGGTCAGATCTTCATGTAGTGTACAGTGTAGGCCATTGAAAGTATAAAAAAACGAAATGAAATATAGATCTGTATTTTAACCAGACTGAACGTCTACTGTTATGGACTTGTATTCGATAATGGAATGGATATTGAAACGGGATCTGTTCGTCCAGGTTTTGATGCCGGAGCATATCTTATAAGCTGTCTTTTTGAAACTTTGTTGTAGTTGTCATGCCCATTAATTTTTGTGTTTCCATGGAAAACAAGTTTGACTTATGTTCTTTGTGTTACGCAAGGAATATTGAGGACTGGATTTTCTTGTTTTTATTTTTTCATTGATATAGAAATAAAAGTTTGATAAGTGTACATTTTGTACATTTTATATTTCAGTGGTCTAGAATCACACAAGTTTTATATTTCAGTGGTTGAATCACAGAAGTTTTATATTTTAGTGGTGTGGAATCACACAAGATTTTGTATGTTTTATGTGACAGTGGTGTCTAATCACACCAGATGTGAAAGTGGTGTGGAATCACGCAGATGTGACAGAGGTGTCTAATCACGCCAGATGTGACAGTGGTGTGGAATCACGCCAGATGTGTATCACACAAGATTTTGTACGTTTTATATTTTCAGTGGTGTAGAATCACACAAGACATCCAGCTGTTCATTAAACAGAATACAGATGTTATGGGAATCATTTCGTGTTGATGAGGACAGAAAAGGTGACATATAGAAATTTATCTTCGCACTGTTTGGGGATACTTTGATAAAGGATCTAATATATTATATTAAAGGGTGTTAGGGGGTGGGGGGGATCCGATTATATGATATTCCAGAGGATATGGTGGTTTTGGGGGTGAGGTAGACTTTGTAATAGGATATGAAGGTTTCGAGGAGGGGGACAGGGGAGATTTTATAATAGGATTTAGAGGTTTTAGAGGTGGGATGACAAGATGACATTCCTTACTCAAAGTCAGCTAATAATTTACATTGTCAGTCAGTTAAAACTGATAAATAGGACAGAAATCAAAGCCCTGGTTTTATCAATGGCCAATTATTCTGCCACAACATTTATCATGTTTTGGAAATGAAATAGGCAACGTCCTGCACCAACTGGACTAATGAAGACGGGCATACGCCATACAGTGTGCTATGGGGGAAATTTTGCCTGGGCAGCGGCACTACAGCCTACTCTTATATCGAATTCCAACTATCAAGATCAATGGTTCCTTTATGTGTACAAAGGACCTTGGATTTTCTTCCCATCCGAATAACTATAGAATTGTGGAAACACTATAGAATTGTGGAAATTCTATACAATTACATGGTTTTTGTGTACAATTGTCATAAATATTTATTTTTTATTTCCAGATACGTCAAGATATTTGATGATTCTACCACCGTCCTTCCATATTCTGTTTCAAGTTAAAACTAGGAAACAAAATCTAGTCATCTCTATAGCAACTGATCATTGGCCTTTATTACCATTAATAAATAATTATTTAAATACCTTAAACTCTTAGGCACCTGTAAACATTGACTACCTCAGTGCCTTGATAAAATTGAGAACAGTGATGGTATACAGGTCTCAATTCTATGGAATACAATTACTGCTTATTACTGAGCGACTATACTCCAGTTCAGTTACTAAATGCCATTAAAACGATTTAACAGTGATGGTATTTTTACATAGAGGATATTTGTTGGAAACAAAGTATTCATGTGTTTAACCAGTTCTATCACATTGTTACAGATTAACTGTAGCAAAGATTTCAGTGTTAAAGTTATATTTGGAATGTGTTTAACTCAGGCCCTTAGTTCACAAAGCATTCTCAGACTTGGGCTAAGAATTAACTCACCTTTCAATCACTGTTTATGTAGAATATCTTTGATCCAGAAGCACAAAACTTTGCACATAGTTTCTTATTGATGTATTTGGTACATTTAAACAACAAAAGTTTTATAAAGGGCTATATTTTAGTTAAAATAAGGCGAACGATTTTGAGTAAATTCTTTACTGAAGTCTTAGAATGCTTTGCGAACTCAAGGCCAGTTTTATGTAATATTGATGGACACCAATATCTTCCATTGAAGAGTAGGTTGAATCAGTATAAACATGACATCACATTTACTAGACAAACAGAGAGAGCCAGAAATGGGATTTAATGTCCTTGTGACACAATCTATGTCATTTTGGGACTAACATATGATTCAATTTTATTTCAATAATTTTACCAGAGGACCCGGAGAAAACCAACAAGGTTGGACAGGTGACCCTTCTCCTTGTCACATACAACCTGGGAATCGAAACCACACCAGTTGACTCAATGACAAACCTTATGATACAGCCTGCATGTGCTAACCATTCAGCCATCCAACCCCTCATTCAGTATTTTGATTATCAGAGTATGAATTCTTGTGATCAGAAACCCCGTGGATATAGGACAGGAGTAGGCTACTCCTAGATATCAGGGGTTGGATGGCCGAATGGTTAGCACATGCGCGCTGTATCGTAAGGTCTGTCATTGAGTCATCAGGCATCGTTTCGATTCCCTGGTTGTATGTGACAAGGAGTAGGGTCACATGGGTTTTCTCTGGGTCCTCCAGTTTCCTTCCACTGCTAAAGACCCTACGCACAAGCGAATTATTGAAATAACCCCATTTCTCTCTCTCTCTCTCCTAGATTATCATTTGTAATTAAAAGATAAAATATAATTGTGCAATATATTTTTATAATAAATTATTATCTATATATATATATATATATATAATTATGACTGTCATTTGTTTGTTGGCGGCAGCTACACTAGAGCTGCCCTGAGGATGGTTTCCCGTTAACGGTGGTGCAGCCCAGAGGGCCTGGCAAGGAAATGAAATGGGTTTAACGTCCTACTGTTCTGTTCCTACTAATCTAATGAAAATGGGTACACGCCATACAGTGTGCTATGAGGGAAATTTTGCACGGACAACGTCGCTACGGCCTACTCTTATATCTAATTCCAATTGTCAAGGACCTGGGTTTTCGGATGGGATGAAAACCGAGGTCCTGTGCTGTGCACGTAAAAGAGGCCTTTATGAAGTGTGAGCGAAAACATTGCTATCAGGGCAAAATATCCCTCATAGCACACTGCATGTCATTCACCCATCTTTATAACCCTCATAGCACACTGCATGTCATTCACCCATCTTTATAACTCTCATAGCACACTGCATGTCATTCACCCATCTTTATAACCCTCATAGCACACACTGCATGTCATTCACCCATCTTTATAACTCTCATAGCACACTGCATGTCATTCACCCATCTTTATAACCCTCATAGCACACACTGCATGTCATTCACCCATCTTTATAACTCTCATAGCACACTGCATGTCATTCACCCATCTTTATAACCCTCATAGCACACTGCATGTCATTCACCCATCTTTATAACCCTCATAGCACACTGCATGTCATTCACCCATCTTTATAACCCTCATAGCACACTGCATGTCATTCACCCATCTTTATAACCCTCATAGCACACTGCATGTCATTCACCCATCTTTATAACCCTCATAGCACACTGCATGTCATTCACCCATCTTTATAACCCTCATAGCACACTGCATGTCATTCACCCATCTTTATAACCCTCATAGCACACTGCATGTCATTCACCCATCTTTATAACCCTCATAGCACACTGCATGTCATTCACCCATCTTTATAACCCTCATAGCACACTGCATGTCATTCACCCATCTTTATAACCCTCATAGCACACTGCATGTCATTCACCCATCTTTATAACCCTCTTAGCACACTGCATGTCATTCACCCATCTTTATAACCCTCATAGCACACTGCATGTCATTCACCTCACAACCCTCATAGCACACTGCATGTCCATTTTATTTTATCCCATTAAAAATAAGCAGCTATGATTTGGGCCAGTGATCTTGATGTGCAGCTAGAATTGAAATCATTTTTTTCGATCCCCCATTAAGTTTATCTTCATGTGGTTCAATTACTGGAAGTTATATGTTGTATACAGCATGAGATCAAGGGTATGGTATGGAAGGAAAGACTGACGAAACCAGAGGTTTTTTCTTTCCAGGGCTTTTTGTGAAGTCTTTCTTCCCCAGCTTAACCGAAGTCAAGTCGAGGACTTTATCTTGCTTATAACCCGTCTATGTTTACATGTATGTCAAATGAGAATGTCAAATTCAGAAAAACCTTATATCATGTTTTCTTATGAAAAAAAAACCCTACCCTGGAAGAATAACCAGTTACAGGTCTAAAGAAAACCTTTCAGAAGAATAACCCAAAATTCTCCTGTATATATCCAAAGCCGTCCCCGACTTTCAGACAGCAAGTTATTCCAGGCATAGAATATACCTCAAAGATCAGATAGATTTACTGTTATAGGTTTATAGATAAGGTGAATATTTGACATCTCGTGAAAGGTGCTTGTTGGGGGCTGCGAACCATCAGTGCACTAACTCTCAACAAGAAGGTACCAGGTATGAATCCTGTCAAGACGAATTGTGGGGTTTGTTCATATCCAGTTCCCCATCGTCATCCCTACAGGCCCTGACTCTCATAAAATGTTGGCTGGTCATTTGGGCCGGCTTTAAATTTCAAACTTCAGTTGAAAGGGATAAGGCAAAGCATGTAGGATCGCCTGCCTAACCTGGTGGGGGCTTCAAAAGAGCTTAAATAAAGTAAATACATGTATATGTAATCATTTTGTTAAAAAAATATTTATTTCAATATCTACACATATAAAGACAGTACAATATATAAAGTTATTTACAAAACACCTATTGAACTCTAGCATTTGGTCGGGGAATAGGATGGCCGAATGGTTAGTGCAAGTACGTTGTATCTTATAAGGTCTATCATTGGGTCAACTGGTGTGGTTTCGATTCCCCGGTTATATTTCACAAGGAGTGGGGTAGCATGTCCAACCTCATGCTAAAGACCCATACGTGAAATTGAATAATTGAAAAATATGTTAGTCCCAAAATGACCTAGTTTGTGTCGAGTGGACATTAAACCCCATTTCTCTCTCTTGACTATTGAACTCTTTAGCATTTGGTACCTATCATATAATACTTTGGGTTGCCATAGTTATTCATGTTACTTATGTGGCAAGGTGAGAAAAAGAAACTGAGTTTAACGTCCACTCAACACAAACTAGGTGATTTCGAGACTAACATATGTTTCAATTTTATTTCAATAATTCACTAGCGTCTTAGTGTGTATGGGTCTTTATCTGAGGGAGAGAACCGAAGAAAACCCACAAGGTTGGACAGACTATCGAAACCACGGCACTTGATTCAGTGACTGGCCTTATGGTCTAACGCACATGTTGTAGGACCGTATAATAGTTGTTGAGATCGCTGTAGCTGTAATTTAAGAAGCACTAGTTACGTCCATGTGATAAATGGTTCAATGTTCAATATTAATTAGAGAATAAATGAGATAGAAATAATGATATCCCTTGGATGAATGAACTTAGGGTAGAGTGGAGTAGAACGGATTAAGACCACTGCAGATACCGAGGATGTTACTGGCAGTGATTGACACAGGCCTGGAAATAACCCAATCTCATTCCTGGAGATAAGTTTACCCTTTGTTTATCTCTGGGAAAACTTGCTGGCCATACGTCGGCCATTTTGAATGTCACAAAGATCCAAAATGGCAGCTCAAACTCGCAATTCTTCAGAAATTTCACGTATTTAGCCAAATCACTCTCACATTTTGCGCTAAAAATAGTTTCAGGTAAAACATCAAATCGGCTGTTTTTGTATAAACTTTTGATGTCAAGATGTGGAAAATGTTCCAAGGATCATTAATATGTAACTCATGCAACGAATGGATGCCTATTGTCGAGAAATCGGCAACATTCTCTCTAACAAATCCTGCGAAGGGTAAAGTTATCTCTGGGATAGAGATTGAAAGTAACCACGTCAGTTACCAGACAAAATGTCAGGCACTACTCAAGTATTACATGATGTTTTGATCTTCCACGTCGAACGTGTATTAATAATATTAAAAAAATAACACAGAAAGAAGACAAATCAGTCACAGACATTAGAGGAAATGATCCTGACAAAATGCTCGAATTTGTGCCTGAAAATGTCTGTGAGAGGTGCCTTGGTTTGAAAGTTATAATCAGCACTTGCTTAGGAAACGTGGACAAAGGTTTCCCCTCACATAAAGAAAGGTAAAATATAGAAATTGATCTCTGTAATAAGATCAGACTACATGATATGACAAGAGGTTGCGGCAAGTATGGAAATAAGGCACCTGTCACAGACAATGTCAGGCACAGATTTATCCTTTTTTACTTATATCAGGTAAGGTCAAGCCTAGAAATAAGGCACCTGTCACAGACAATGTCAGACACAAATACAGGCTTTGTCAGGCACAGAACCTCTGGCGCCTGCCATTTTGTTCGTCACTGATTTGTCTTTTTTATTGATTTTATTAATACATGTCGGCACTAAGTTGAAAATGTCAGGTACTATTTCATTAGTGCCTGACATTTTGTCAGGTACATCTAAAACCGATATTTCCAGGCCTGCGTTGTGGGGGACATTCCCCTGGCCAAAATTTAAGTTATAATTACTAGTAAAAGTCACTAGTTGCTAGGTAACGAATAATGACTGTTCTCCATAACAAAATGAAATGGGGTTTAACGTCCTACTGTTCTGTTACAACTGAGCTGATGAAGACGGTTTTCTATAACAAATGATCACCTTGGATGTTAACATTAACATATCCTTTCAAATTCAGTTTTTCATTTGCAATATCCCGATAACTAGCAAACCTTTAATTATCAATTTGGAGTTCTGAGGTCAAATCATTACAGAAAAGGCACATAGCTGCCATATTTCCTGAAGGTAAAGGTCACCACCTCGGGTTCGTATCGTGAGCATTGTGTTGATTTACACATCGTAACATTCTAGAGATGGGAAGATTACGTTCAGATGTACACCGAACCATCAGCAGGTCCTACGTATCCTACACCCACCAAAATAACATCAACTAATGTCCACACCCCTAATCCACCGAAACTAAACAACTTTCCAATACCCTCTCTCCATAGTCCAAGATAAAAACGATCTACTCCAAAACCACCTAATGTAATACTGAAATAAACAAAATTCATTGTAAAATTAAAATCACCTAACGTAATACTGAAATAAACAAAATTCATTGTAAAATTAAAATCACCTAATGTAATACTGAAATAAACAAAATTCATTGTAAAATTAAAATCACCTAATGTAATACTGAAATAAACAAAATTTATTGTAAAATTAAAACCACCTAATGTAATACTGAAATAAACAAAATTCATTGTAAAATTAAAACCACCTAATGTAATACTGAAATAAACAAAATTCATTGTAAAATTAAAATCACCTAATGTAATACTGAAATAAACAAAATTTATTGTAAAATTAAAATCAAATTTTTACTCCAATTCAGAGATATAACAATCTGATGGCCTGTTTCACGAAATTTTAACTAATATAAAATCCTAATTTTAGTAATTTAATTGGATAATATTAGATTGATTTTAGTGCTTAGCCAATCAAAATTGAAGTATCTACTAAAATATGGATTTTATCTTTAGTTAAGATTTCAAGAAACAGGACCCTGATCTATATTTTGTTTCATTTTTTTTATACTTTTGATGACCTACACTACATGAACTTCTGACCAGTTGTAACGGGAGGTC